ACCATGCCAGCTCCTCCTCTGCCTCCGCCCCCTCCCTCCGCACCCCCGCTGCCCGGGATGTCGTCCCCCACGGTGGTTTTCAACTCAGGATTAGCAGGTAAGAGCGCAGCACACCGAGGTCCTCGTGTGAGCAGTCCTCCTCTCTCCGGTCTCCAGGGTTAGAGCCCCTCTTCCACGCGCCGGGTCTTTCGCGTGCCGCATCTCCTCTTAGCGTGGGAGGACCCTGTGCACTTAGGCGGTACAGGGAAATTGCGTCCGAGCCCTGTCCTCCGCTGCGCTGGTCACTCCACCACCGAGAGGTTCTGGACACTCCCCCGTCTTGCACCTTGCCGTGGCCCCACCTGCAGAGGGGAAGTGACAGGCTTCCTGTCCCAGTCAGTACCGTCGGTGGGTGTGCAGTGCGCGTGGCTTGCAGCCACCCTGGGGAGCGGTGCACGGCCCACCAGGGACCTTGCCGAAAAGCAAAGGCCTTTATCCGTGGCCTTCCTCGACACCAGTGTGGTCAGAGTGCCAGGTAGGCACAGACGCTCGGTGCGTCTGGCTAGGACAGGGGAGGGACCTTCGTGTGTGGTTATTGACCCGGGCTTCCAGGCGCGCCTTGTGAGCGTCTGACAGCAGCAGATGCTTAGGTGGACGCGCTGCCAAGGGCAGGAACCCCCCGTGACGGCCTTCCAGACAGTCCACGCGCCTCCCTGCCTCACCCGAAGTGAGAAGGAGGCCGCAAGTGGGGGAGAGCTGCTCTAACCCTTGCCATACTAAGTTCTTATTTTGCACTCTCAGAAGCGGACTTGCACGCTTCGGTGTGACGCTCGAAGCCCTTTCCCAGCCGAGGGGCATTGCGGGGCGCGGCGCTTGTCTCGGGCGCTGTCTCTCCGCTGCGGTCTCTCCGGGCTCTCTTACTTTGCACGCGGCTGCACCCCTGAGGCCGCGGTTGTCAGAGCTTTTGCCCTGGAGTCGCAGGGACCGACTTAGCTGTGGAGATGTCCTGGTCCGCACCCCTTCCGGTTCCAGCCCGCCCTCGGGCCGACTCATCCTAGGGACGGGCGCCCTTTAGCACATCTGAAAGCTCCCCAGAACAGATGCATTCTGCCCAGATTTCTGGAAAACTGACAAGGACCCAAATAAAAGGCCTCTTTAAGGTGATGTTCATCGTAAGTTTCTGCCCTGCAAGGCCTTCCCGCCTTCCACTTGCTTTGAGAACTTTTCTTACTTCTGAGAGAAAAGTTGCAGGAGAGTCGTCGTGGAACCATTGGTCGTGGAATGTGAATGAACAAACCTAACGAGCCCTGGGAGCTCTCCCCCTGCCCCCGGCTCTCCTCCGTCCCGAGCGCAGGAGCCGCAGCTGCGGTGTGCGTGGCCGGCTGTCCTCCTGGTGGGCCGGCTGTCCTCCTGGCCGGCTGTCCTCCTGGCCCTCCAGGAGCGCGCACGGTGAGATGTGCCCGCCGCGCCCTCGCGGGGAGCTGCTTCCTGTCTCCCCCGCAGAAGCTAACATGTGCCTCCGTATCTGCTTCCGTTCACCTGAGCTCCAACTCAGGACTCAGAGCCACCCTGGTGGGGACCGGCGTGCCGGAAGCTGAGGCCCGCAGGCTAGGGCTTCCTCCTTGAGGGTGCGTCCTGTCCGGCTCATTGCTTTTTTTCTTTCTTCCACCGGGGTTCTTGTGACTACTTAACGTCTAAAGCTTGTTGATTCTCATGACTGCCTCCAAGATGAAGGGGTCACATCCGTGCTTGGCTGGTAACTGATGGCTTTAGGCTCGCCATGTTTGGAGTCTTCCCTGCGGTGTGGAATGCAATTTGGAAGATAGTAGATGAGCTGAAAAAACTCCTCTTCTGTAGTCCCACACGTGTCCATTAAATGATTATAAGACACGTCTTGTCTTAGAAGATGTGAGAATTCCAACATCCTTGTGATAGCTTGAGATCAGGCATTTTCTTTCCTTTTATTTGGTACCGGGAATTGAACCCATGACCTTGTGCTTGCCAGGCAGGCACTGTGCCGCTGAGCTACATCTCCAGCTAGGTCAGGAGTTTTCTGCAAGGCCTTTAATGGCAGTACTACTTGTCCTTAATTTGGCTTTCGGTACTTAGTGATGGAAGCTGGTTTTATGAGATGCTTTCTTTCTCCTTCCTTCCCATTCCCCATCCTTCCTTTTCTTTCCCTACCCCTCATGCCCCAAGAGGCCACATGGAATCAAGTAAAATTCCCAGAAGAATCAAAAGCCTGAGCTGATAGATCCATGACCCTCGAGAAGTCAGAGTCCCATGACGTTATGGGGTTCTGGATCCATAAGTAACAGAATCTCTTATCTCTAGTGGGCAAAGAGCAAGTATATTCTGTGATAGGAGGAAATGCCCATAGTTTATTTCTAGAAGACGGGGTGCCTTTTTTTTTGTACTTTATAAAGAAAATATTAGTAGCGTGAAATATGCATTTGAAGCAAAGGCCTTCTCCCTCACACCAGTGCTAGGTGGATCTGGCTTCTTTTCCCAGGGTAGGTCACTAGGGACCCTGGCAGCTGTGTCCTGGGCTGTTGACTTGGGAAGTTGTGTTTGGGTCCTGTCAGTGAGGACCTTCACTGGTCAGTGAGCCCTTGAACCTTCGCTGGTTGTTTTCTGTTGAGAAATTGTTTAAGCCCTATGGGATTCTTCACCAGGGTTGACTATGACTATTTGGAACCAGTACAATGAAATACATTTTTTCTTTCCCCCTTCTAAACAGGATTAAAAAAATAAAAAGGTAAAGTGGATCTTCAAGGCAGGCCTGACGGACGTGAGCTTCTCGCTCTGTGCTGCCTTCTGAAATGTGTCCAAGAAGCATGGAATTCTTTGCTGAGTGCGTGGACCGCTGAGGCGCTTGACTCTAACCATATCTAATTTTTTTCTCTGTTCTTTCTGCTTCCACAAAAGACGGGCCAATCAAGCTTTTCTGTAGGTTGCCCCTCACCGAGTGTGTTGAGTATTTGCCGTGTGTTCGTGTGGTCACGTTGTGCCTTGACGTCTTCCCACTCCATCCCACTTGGCTCCATCGCATTTTGACAGTGTGTTGTCTGTGCAGTCGGGTGTTGGCTGTTACTCAGGCGTGCCCAGGTTTTCGTGGGACCTGCAGAAGGGGGTCAGCGTACAGGCAGGCACCCTGGGTTCAGAGACCGTAGTCCCTGTCCTTGAAGGAAGGAATGTGCTTTTTTTCTGTTTACTCTTCATACTTGGATCTAAGGCTTCACGTCTAAAAGGATTTTAAATTTATTTTAAGGAAACCGGGAAAACAGTTGCGTGGTGCCGTTTCCCAGAGCCCCCGAGGGGTCCTGGCTTTCCGGTGGAGCGCCACCCTGTGGAGACTCCCTCCAGCCGAGCCTGGGCGTGCAGTGTGTGTCCCCGCCAGCCCACCGGCCTTCCCGTGCTTCCCGCCCCGCACGCCGTCAGGAGAACTCTTCCCGAGGAGAGCTTTCCCGCCTGCGTTCGCACCTAGTGTCCCGGCGGAGGGATAGCTGCGGGGGAGAACTTGCAGTCAGTCCTGAGCCTGCAGAGCCCGCGGAGGGGAGGCAGGATGCAGATGGCATCGGCCGGGGTCCCGCCGCGTGAGAGGCCCCCGCAGCCGCCCCCTCCCACTGTCCTGCGCATTGCCAAGGCGGCAGGCAGGACTAGGCAGGTCCCTTCCTTCGCCCCAGCAAGGACGTCGCTTTTCCTGCGTAGCACAGACACAGCAAGGCTGCACTGGGCGGGAGCCTGACTCGGTCTGGGGATGGCAGCAGCTGTGTCTCGCTGTGTTCCTGCATGCTCTTGTGTGGCGTTATCAGATGACATTCCTGTTTCTCTGGCCTGTAACTCTGGAGGAATGAGAGGCACCATCTGTCTTAGCGTTTCAGTAACTTCCACAGAGGCGGGCTGGCGGGCAGGACGCAGGTGGGTGTTGCTTTTATTTCGCTCCGAGCTGAAGGGCTGTTTCTTCTCCCTCCCTTGCTGATGGCGAATAGTGGGCCGTGTGGTACAGACGGGTGAAAGTGAGTGTGGGTAGCTAAACGGTTTGGAACAACTTCTTTATGGGGTGAGAACACAGAGAATTTGAAATGACGTAACCTTTGTTAGCCCTTCCTGAAAGTGAGAGGAGCTGGCGGTCCTGTAGGCTCCTGAGACATGGCGCTCTCTGTTAACAGGTTCCCGATGTTTTCAGTGGGTTCATTGACACCTCCCAGGGGAACACAGCTGATTCTTGGGGACCACTTGCTTTCTAAGAAGGAAGCAGGGACTGCGAGCATTCCTGAGAAGCAATCCAACTTCTTGATTCCGTAGCACCCCTTCTATCTTTATCACTCTCTGATAAGAACATTCATGACCCTTAGTCTATTTGAAAGTACTTAGCAGCCAGTATAATCTCTGTTTTTGAAGTCACCTGCAGGAGTGCGTTGCCCTGGCTGAACAGTTACTTTCTTGATGCCACTTTCCTGGTGATTTAGACAGACCCTGTCTGCAATCGCCGATCATTTGTTAAGGTTTATTTGTAAATGTGCTCTAAATTAAGAATTTGGGCCACCAACATTTGATGCTATTTGGCGTCTGTGCTGCCTCAACATTAGTTACAAGTTTTTGCTCTCCAATGTTTTGTCGTAAGTGTCGTGTCAGTACGGGAACTATAAAGGAGCAATCCAGTTGCCTGAATAAAAATCAAACAAAACCCCTGGCCCTGAGCTTTCAGCATGAACGTGTGTCAGTGCACCAGATGAGGACCTCGGTGGCTCTGGCCGAGTCTGTATGGACATAGTCTACTGAGATCCGCCTGCGTGCCTCTTGCCCGCCTTCCTCCAGTGTTAAAGTGTCACCTGCAAGGACTGTCGTCTGATGCTCTTGAGGGCTGTGGTGTCTTAGAGGGATCTTAATCTCGTTCTCTTCGGTATCTTTAGCTGTGAAAATTAAAAAGCCAATCAAGACGAAGTTCAGAATGCCGGTGTTTAACTGGGTTGCTCTAAAGCCCAATCAGATCAATGGCACAGTCTTCAATGAAATTGATGACGAGCGGATTCTGGAGGTATCGTTCCCAGGGCTCCGAACTGGGTGGTCAGTCTATCTGTGCAGCAGCGCCAAAGTGGGTGCTCCATTAGGTTTCACTAACAGTGTTTTAAGTACCAAATAAACAGATTTATACCTTCAGAGAGTAAAAGTGGACACTGTTTTATAAGGCAGATGTAAAACTGTTTAGAAGGTTACGATGGAAGAGTGTTGGGGATCTTCAGCATGTGCCACAAAATATGTGTCTGACGGTCTCATCATTTGTAAAAGGACATGAGGGCCTTTTTTACAACTTCGGTGAAGGACTCAGTTCACTTGCTGCCTTGTTTAGCAGATAGTTTAGGATGGCAGCTGTCTGCACGGCTGATTATTGGCGGCGATTGCCTTGGTTGGTTGAATCAGTAGTGTACTTTGGACATTCCCTTTGGTCTGTTTTTAAGTGCAATACAGTTTGTAATGTCATCCCTCTCCACCCTAGGATTTAAACGTGGACGAATTTGAGGAGATATTCAAGACCAAAGCCCAAGGTCCTGCCATTGATCTTTCCTCAAGCAAGCAGAAGATGACACAGAAAGGCTCAAACAAAGTGACACTGCTAGAGGCAAACAGGGCCAAGAATCTTGCCATAACTTTAAGGAAAGCTGGAAAGACCGCTGATGAGATCTGTAAAGCTATTCATGTGTAAGTGCAGGGAATTCTGGAGAATTATATTGCCGTTAGATAGCAGAAATAGTGTAATAGTGGGGTGAGATGTGAGCTGTAAGATGACACTCATCCTTCAGAGAGTCCCTTTGTTACACGTGTGCCATTTCAGAATTGGATGAGATGCCGGCGCTAAAGAGGCGGACTGCACGTTCCTGCTGTAGGGCTGTGTTGGAAGGAGTCATTAATCATTGTGGAAGAATAACATCTGGACTGTGACATCATTTGTTGTCCTGTTCGCTCTCTTACACAGCCGTACAGCAGTGCTTACATAAAAGGAAAGTTGGGCTGAGAGAGTGGCAGATACTAAGAAAAAGGAGGAATTTCAGTTCTCTCTGGAGTATGTGGATTTTATCCAGATTTATTGGACACAAATTTGATGGCATTTGTGGAATGATGTAGCTCAGTGCCAGATGCAAATATGATACAGATGCATATTTTAATTCGTAACAGTAGGAATGTGAATACTGCTGCTCTTAGTATTTCCAGGACATTTTAAACAAAGTTCATTTTGTTTTTAAATTCTTGATCTCCAAAGAAGGCATTGGTTTTATTTCTCAATTAAAAGAATCTTTCTCCTGTTTTTGTGGACCTGGTAATAAGGTGTTATTAAATGTTTTAAAAAGTACTTTTTGTAAATTAGCATTTTGTTAGAGACGCATTCAGAAATTCGTGCCCCTAAGAGATCCTTTGCTCTGAGGCTGTCTTTGGCCAGGCTCATAATCTAATAGGACAGCGCCTCCTACTGTTCATTCTGACCGTATATTGAACCCTGAGAAGCATTCTGGTTTTTAGCAAGTTCCCGACAGGGGCATAATTCATATATGTCCCTGGAGCTGTCCCCAAACCCTAAGGTAATAGCACCGGAAACCGAAGGGTGCCGCTGCAGTAGGGCACAGGTTTTCCCGAAGGGCCAGTCAGGTTCCCGCTGCGTGGTCAGGACCTGGTGCCGGGGCGGAGGCTCTCAGGAGGGCTGTAGGAGTCAGTCTTGTTGACTGGGCAGCAGCTGCGCTGGGCGGGATGGGAGTGGTCGGAGCGCAGGTTTTCTAACACCGACTTACACTGCCCCCAGGTTTGACCTGAAGACGCTGCCTGTGGACTTCGTAGAGTGCTTGATGAGGTTCCTGCCCACTGAGAACGAGGTGAAAGTCCTGCGGCTCTATGAGCGGGAAAGGAAGCCCCTGGAGAACCTGTCGGACGAAGACAGGTTCATGATGCAGTTCAGCAAGGTCGAGAGGCTCATGCAGAAGATGACCATCATGGCCTTCATCGGGAACTTCGCCGAGAGCGTTCAGATGCTGACTCCTGTGAGTGGCCGGCTCTGGCAGGGCGGGGTCCAAAGACACATCGCTCCCGGAATCGCAGTCAGTGTCATGGGCCCTAAAGATGGCTTCGGAGAACCTCCTAGATTATATTTGTATTTCCTCTATCCTTTTCACATTGCGTCTGCAAAGTAAATTGAAAACTTGTGAATTTTCTTATTCCCTTGCTGTTCTCCCAAGAAAAGGCCATTTTCTCTGTGTGCAGATGTCCTCTGTATTTCCAAAGATGCTTCTGTACAGAGGACAAGGAAAACCATTTTCTTGAGCTTGGATGCTGCCTGAAGTCAGTAGTCCCCCGGCTGGGTTGGCTTGACTGAAAACGTGCCTTTTATTTCTGAAATCCGGCCCTTATATTCAGCGAGCACGGCTGCATGCTTTCACTGGAAGCGTTGAGCTCGGCAGTTCCCTTGGAAGTTTGTTGTAGGAGGCGGTGCTGATGTACAAGCATTAGCACGTCACCTGCCCTTTCTGCTGTTACTCTGCTGAGCATTGCAGTTTGTTTGCAGTTCTAAGTCAGCTTGTTGGTTACTGCCTAGGTCAGCGGCAGTCTGCGTAATCGAACGTGTGTGTCCGGCGCGGGTCCCGGCACCTCCGGAGGGCGCCGTCCCTGCCCCTCCGTGGCCCTGCTTTCTTCGGCAGCTCCGTTGAAAGCACACGTGGTGTTGTATGGGGTGAGGAACTGTGGCCAGGTGACTGAGCTCGGCCCAAGAGGTTGTTCAGTCCTGCCTCAGCCGTGGTGGTTTGCGATGGGCTCGGGCTCTGCTCCTCTTCCTGGCTCTCGGAGAGTGTAGAGAGGAGCTGGCATGTGACCCTGAGGTTACCTAAGGCGAGGTTGGGTATCAGTTCATTATGCTCGGGAAGATAAAATCTCACCTCTCTCCGTTAAGAGAGGGTCTGAATGCAGCCCTGTTATTCTTAATTAGCTTTTTAGTTTCTAACTAGTTTCCATTTTTAACATGTCTTTTTCCCCCTCTTCCTTCCTTTGATTGGAATCTAGCAACTGCATGCAATTATAGCAGCATCTGTCTCTATAAAGTCGTCCCAGAAACTCAAGAAGATTCTGGAGGTAAGCGAGACCTTCCCGTGCGTGGAGAGCTGAGTCAGCTGCCTTCCACACTGGGGGCCACCGTCCTGATGGGCTTCTCTCTCTTTCAGATCATCCTGGCTCTTGGAAACTATATGAATAGCAGTAAACGAGGAGCTGTTTATGGATTTAAACTTCAGAGTTTAGATCTGGTGAGTGAACAGGAAGGCATTGGAGGGCCGGGGATATAGCTCAGCGGCATAAGTGCTTGCCTGGCAAGCCTGAGGTCATGAGTTCGATTCCTGGTTCAAAAAAAAAGGCATTGGAGAACTCTGTGGACGAACGACAGCAGCAGAGATTAAGTCCTGGAGCAGGAGAGTGGGCCGTTGGGGTGCAGGGGGCAGTTTTATTGAAGATTCTCTAGAGCAATTGGAGTAAATTTCTGGAGCACCCTTGGATTGTAAGGATTTAACACCTTAGAAGTACTCAGACCCTTTCCCCTGTATTTTTCTTTCTAGGACTTTTTCCTCAGGTATCCGAATTGTGAATGTTGTATTTATTTATGATTACAAATAATTAGTAATTTAGAAGCCCAGTGTTTCGGGAAATGCTTATGTTGGAACTATAGTTAATACGGTGACCTAGCCCATGCTGGTGGCCCACACCTATAATCCCAGCACTCCCGAGGCTGAGGCAGGAGATCACCTGCGAGTACAAGGCCAGTCTGGGGTACATGCTGAGTTCAGGGCCTGCCTGAAGTACATACCGACACCTTGTCTCAAAAAAACCAAAAAACAGCCCCACAAACAAAAGTAATGAGCTATTGTCTAAATACTGGTAGAATACTTGTGTTTTCAGAGAAATGGATAATTTTTTTGTTTTTTTTTTGAGAAATGGATAATTTTGTGTTTAAAAGAGAAAGCAAAATCTAAATTACAGGTGCAGTCTAATGTCAGCTAAATAAAGTGTGTAGGAGAAGAGACGGGATGGAACTGGTGTGAGGTGCTCGCCCGAGCGTTCACCCGAGCGTCCCTCGGGCGGTGCGCGTGTTCCTGGGCCGTCCCGCGTGCGTCGGCAGGTGTCGTTTGAACCAATCCATTCTTCTGGTGAATAAATTTGATAGAATTATTGTTTTTATATTTCCTGTTAACAAAATTAATGAAAAAATATTCAATTTTTGGTCATCCTGTATTTAAATAATTGGACTTTGAAGTGGTTAATAGACGGGATAGAATTAGGGAATTTTTTTGATACTTTTTTTGTTTCCTTTTTTAGGGGCTTTTTAAATTGACTTTTTGATTAACTTTATTGGTACATTTTAGATACACATAATAATCACATTTGTTACAGGGAATTTGTTATAGGGAATTTGAACCTGTAGGTCATATATCTTGATTCTCTTTTATTTCCCATTTCCCTACCCTCCCTTCAATCCTTTTCCTCTTCTTATTTACAAAAGCTTTGTTCTCATTTTTTCCTTCTTTTCACATTTTTTCTTTTCTCTTTCCTTTCCTCTTTCCCTCCCTAGTCCCCCTCCCCATTTGAACATTTTCTTTCCATTTTACAATATCTATTATACATTTTGGCCCTTACTTACACTTTTGGTTTCTCACACCAGAGAAACAATGTGATACTTATACATGTATGTCCAGTTTATTTTACTTAAGAGTCTCTAGCCGGGCGTGGTGGCGCATGCCTGTAATCCCAGCACTCTGTAGGCTGAGGCAAGAGGATCTTTGTGAGTTTGAGGCCAGCCTGGGCTATGCAAGTGAGTTCAAGGCCAGCCTGAACTGCATAGTGAGACCCTCTCTGTCAAAAACAAAAAACAAAAAACAAAAACACAGATGTTGTTCTCCAAGTGTATCTATTTACCTAGAGATGTCTCAAGTTTAACCTTTTTATGGCTGAGTAGTACTCCATTGTATTTTTTTTAAATATATAAAACCACACCTTTATCCATTCACCAGTTGATGGGCATTTGGGCTGTTTCCAAGATCTGGCTATTACAAACTGTGCTACCTTAAACATGGGTGTGCATATATCACTGTGGTATGGTGCTTTTAATTCTTTCAGGAAGATATCAAGAAGAATAGCTTGGTCCAGTGGAACCTCTAGTCCTAGTTGATTGAGGAATCTGATTTCCATAGTGGTTGCACCAGTCTACACTCCCACCAGCTGTAGAGAAGGGATCCTTTTTCCCCACAGCCCTGCCAGCATTTGTTATGGGTTGAGTTCTTGATGATAGCCATGCTTTCTGGGGTGAGGTGAAATCTCAGCATTGTTTTAATTTGCATCCCTTGAATGAGCAGAGATGTGGGACATTTTTTCATATATTTATTTGCTGTCTGTATTTCTTCATCTGAGAAGTCTCTGTTCATCTCAGATGCCCCATTTTGGGTCTTTAAATGGGAGAAGTCTGATTTTTTTGAGTTCTTTATATATTCTAGATATTAGTCCTTTGTCTGAGGAATAACTGGCAAAAAATTTTTCCCACTCTGTGGGTTGTGTCTTTCACGCTGGTTGTGGTTTCTTCCGCTGTATTAAAATTTTTTTCCTGCCCGAACAAAGGTAACCTCTTCTTCAGTCACTCGACCTGTGTGAACAGGACATGCATCCTCACTCTTGCACCTAACCCAGGCCTCCTTTTGTTTTCAGCTCTTAGATACAAAGTCCACAGACCGGAAGCAGACGCTGCTGCACTATATATCAAATGTTGTAAAAGAAAAATATCACCAAGTGTCCCTATTTTATAATGAGCTTCATTATGTGGAAAAAGCTGCTGCAGGTACATGATTTCAGCTATTAGTACTCCTCTCCAATATTTAGTGCTTTCATGTGTGAGAGGACTGTTCCCTGCTTACGCAAACACCCCTCAGAACCCCTGTGAAGGGCAGGACCCGGAAGTCAGAAGCTCTGAGCTGGAGTGCATGGCGACAGCGCTGCCCCTCCCAGCCGCAGCTGTGCCGGGCGCGGCGGATCTCCACGTGCTCGCTGTGAAGATCCAGGCCCTCGACTGTGCGCCTTCCCCGTCCATTCGCTGCCCTTTTGTTCTGTTGCCATTTATGAGACAGGAAGATCTCAATTACCCCCACCAAACCCTTCCGGTTTGATTTTTTGCTATCCTACTTGCTCGGTTGTGGCAGATGTACGGAGCTTTGGACAGCTTCCTCGGGAGGCGTGGGGTGCGTCTGCTATGGGCAGTGGCCATGCTGCAGGTGGGAAGATTCCCGCTGAGCCATTCTGCAGGGGGACAGGGCAAAGTGGAAAGTTGTCCAAGGTTCCTCTGTGTCCCAGCAATCTGTACAACTAAAATCCAGCAGACAGAGTGCCGCCCCCTGCTGGAAAGTCCCAGAAATGCAGGTGTCTAAAGGGACTAGACAGTGGAAGATCCTGTGCTTGTCACAGACATTTCTGAGCCGATGGGCCCGCCCCAGGCTGCTTCCTGGGAGGGAGTGAATAGCTGTGTGTAGCACTGATTGGATTTCATCACTGTTGCCTGAGCTCCCTTCTCTGCCATCTACCAGCTGTGCAACCCAGGGCGGGTCCAGAATCTCCCTGTGCTGCTTTTCTTCATTGGCAAAATGGGTTCATAGTGCGACAAGTTAGTGTGTGTGGAGAATTCACTGTAGTGCCCAGTAGCTGTACTTTCTGCTTTATTCCTGTTAAAGGGTCTTTGCTCTGAAGCCTGGGAACTAGGTCCGGGGGCTCCAGGTAGACCTGAGGCTCAGAGCCTGGCTTAGCAGCCAGCTGCACTGTGGCTCCGGCCCTGGATGGTCCCTGAGACTTTGCTTTCCCTGCGCCAGTCTCTCTGGAGAACGTGCTGCTGGACGTCAAAGAGCTGCAGCGGGGCATGGACTTGACCAAGCGGGAGTACACCATGCACGACCACAACGTGCTGCTGAGGGACTTCCTCCTGCACAGCGAGGGGAAGCTGAAGAAGCTGCAGGACGACGCCAGGATCGCGCAGGTAGCTGGGCAAGTGCTGCTTCTCTCCCGCGGAAGTCAGGTTCTTACGTGGTCAGTGGTTATTGCAGGGTGCCTTTCTGGTGTTTTCCTTGGAAGCTCCTTGCCATGCTCACTGTGTCCTCCCTCCCTCCCTCCCTCCCTCCCTGCGTGCAGTACTTGGTCACGTCCACCGAGGGGATCCGTGCGCACGTGTAGCGCATCTTAACCCTGTCTCC